TTGGGAAGGAAGAGTAAACCAAAAACCCCAGAAAATGAAAGAACGTGCAAAAAATGCAATTCAGATCAAATTGAAGATGAAATGCATTTCATCTTAGATTGCAATTTCTATGAAGTAGAGAGAAAACATGTCTTGGAGTATTTTAAAATAAAAATTAATGACTTGTGAAAATAATGGGAAATAATATGGCTTTGTCATATTATTTAAAAAATACAATTTTCTAAAAGATAAATATGTAACTGTGGTCTGGGAGAACCTTGCTGCTGTTTAATCATTTTTTTCAGAGATTTTCTAATTTGTATTTCTTTCTATGTTGAATTTCAGTGTATTTTAATTTTAGTGTGTCTTATTTTATTTGTCTTTTGTATTCATTTTACCTTACTAAACCCACAGATGGTTAAGTTGTGTAATAAAGTTATTATTATTATTAAAAAAGGCTGGAGACACAACAAACTAACTGTGACATTCAATTATAATCTATAAAAAAATTAATACTATAAGTCTGATAATTTGTTGAACAAAGAAGACTTGTACAATTTTACAAACATAAAATCATGCATTATTTCATTATTGCATCTTTCAAATTAAATTAACATGAACAAGGAACTTTCATAATCTCGTGGCAGGCTGGCCGGCCGGCTGGTTCGTGGCTAATGACGGCCAAGTGAATTCTAATATTTTCTGGAATCTAACATTTTGATTTTTGGCGTAATTTCAATTGATGAATTGGCAGTAAGTAATCACAGTTAATATTTTAGCTGTGATTCTTGAAGTTGTACCTTCCTCTGGCATACCTAGGCCCTCTGGCAAATGAAAATGAAAAATGAAACGTCCCAAAATGAAAATAGGATTTTGATTTTTGTCACTCATTTCATAATCCCATTTTTGAAAACTAAATGTTGCCGCCACAGGCATAACTTCGAAACTGCAGCTAAACTTTAAATCGCAATTGCTTACAGTCAACTCATCAATTGATATCATGCCAAAAAAACAAAATGTTAGAGTCCAGAAAATATTATATTGGCCATCATTAGCCACAGACCTCGGCCTCAGCCTCACACTGCTACACTATACATTTACTCATAGTTCCCGCCAGATTGCCTGTGTGTATGTGTGCATACTCAGGGGTATGGAGTCATTTTATTACCGCAATTTCCAGAGTTTTCAAAGCATAGGAGTACATGTTGATGTTATTGCCAGCTATCCAATCTGTATAGTTACATTGCACCAGAGGCTGGTTATTTAAATTGACTACTTTGAAGCGAACATACAACATTGTATCCAAATGGAGACTCAGTGCAGTTTACGAGAATCCATTATGTTGAATAATGGTCAGTATTGACACCTTAAAATTTACTGGTGTTGACAATGGTGTAATAGAATACACATTCAGTGCATGGCTCATTCACAAGCCCTCTATCCGAATAGATGTGGCTCATTTAATAATCTTCTTCCATTGAATTTTCCAAACTTCCAAATAATGATTCAAATTACAGTAATTCACTCCTTGGTTATTATTTTATGCCCTGCAGAATCAGAATTTTCTCTCAGAAAAAAATCATCATTGGTTTTCAGAGCTTATATTTCACATAGAAAAAGCCTTTGGATTAAAAGACTTGATGATCTACAGAAATATATATCAGTAATCACCAGAAATGACAGAGAATTAGGGCATGAAAAATACTTTGTGCATTGGCAGTGCAGCCGTGAAACGTTTTTGAACAAAAAACTAAATTTTCCGTATTGGAGCAGAATGCTTCTAACCTGAAATCATGTGTAAAATAAATAAATAAATGTTCTGCAACTATATGTATAAAATGTTAGAGGTCATTCAGAGGAAGAGATCATTAGTAACCCAACAATATAAGCTTGCTAGTAATTGACTGTGTTCGTAGCACTTAAACATGTACTGTGGAATACTTTATTTTCGCTGGAATTAATTTTCACTGAAAAGGCTTTTTGGGCAGTTTGTATGGAATTTGTTTTCACTGTTTTTTGATGAGTTTAATGTGAAATATAGGAAAAAAAGTATATTCGCTGGATTTTATTT